AGTGTGAGATGTGGGGTTTACCTACCCAGTTAGTATCATGTACACAGACGGGTAGCAGGGGTACTACAGTGTGAGATGTGGGTTTACCTACCCAGTTAGTATCATGTACACAGACGGGTAGCAGGGGTACTGCAGTGTGAGATGTGGGGTTTACCTACCCAGTTAGTATCATGTACACAGACGGGTAGCAGGGGGTACTGCAGTGTGAGATGTGGGGTTTACCTACCCAGTTAGTATCATGTACACAGACGGGTAGCAGGGGTACTGCAGTGTGAGATGTGGGGTTTACCTACCCAGTTAGTATCATGTACACAGACGGGTAGCAGGGGTACTGCAGTGTGAGATGTGGGGTTTACCTACCCAGTTAGTATCATGTACACAGACGGGTAGCAGGGGGTACTGCAGTGTGAGATGTGGGGTTTACCTACCCAGTTAGTATCATGTACACAGACGGGTAGCAGGGGTACTGCAGTGTGAGATGTGGGGTTTACCTACCCAGTTAGTATCATGTACACAGACGGGTAGCAGGGGTACTGCAGTGTGAGATGTGGGGTTTACCTACCCAGTTAGTATCATGTACACAGACGGGTAGCAGGGGTACTGCAGTGTGAGATGTGGGGTTTACCTTCCCAGTTAGTATCATGTACACAGACGGGTAGCAGGGGTACTGCAGTGTGAGATGTGGGGTTTACCTTCCCAGTTAGTATCATGTACACAGACGGGTAGCAGGGGTACTGCAGTGTGAGATGTGGGGTTTACCTACCCAGTTAGTATCATGTACACAGACGGGTAGCAGGGGTACTGCAGTGTGAGATGTGGGGTTTACCTACCCAGTTAGTATCATGTACACAGACGGGTAGCAGGGGTACTGCAGTGTGAGATGTGGGGTTTACCTACCCAGTTAGTATCATGTACACAGACGGGTAGCAGGGGTACTGCAGTGTGAGATGTGGGGTTTACCTACCCAGTTAGTATCATGTACACAGACGGGTAGCAGGGTACTGCAGTGTGAGATGTGGGGTTTACCTACCCAGTTAGTATCATGTACACAGACGGGTAGCAGGGGTACTGCAGTGTGAGATGTGGGGTTTACCTACCCAGTTAGTATCATGTACACAGACGGGTAGCAGGGGTACTGCAGTGTGAGATGTGGGGTTTACCTACCCAGTTAGTATCATGTACACAGACGGGTAGCAGGGGTACTGCAGTGTGAGATGTGGGGTTTACCTACCCAGTTAGTATCATGTACACAGACGGGTAGCAGGGGTACTGCTGTGTGAGATGTGGGGTTTACCTACCCAGTTAGTATCATGTACACAGACGGGTAGCAGGGGTACTGCAGTGTGAGATGTGGGGTTTACCTACCCAGTTAGTATCATGTACACAGACGGGTAGCAGGGGTACTGCAGTGTGAGATGTGGGGTTTACCTTCCCAGTAAGTATCATGTACACAGACGGGTAGCAGGGGTACTGGTGTGAGATGTGGGGTTTACCTACCCAGTTAGTATCATGTACACAGACGGGTAGCAGGGGTACTGCAGTGTGAGATGTGGGGTTTACCTACCCAGTTAGTATCATGTACACAGACGGGTAGCAGGGGTACTGCAGTGTGAGATGTGGGGTTTACCTACCCAGTTAGTATCATGTACACAGACGGGTAGCAGGGGCATCCCGCACCCCAGGTACGTCAGTACGACGTTGTGGGTTTCACTGTTATGTCACCGACCGACCCACTGAACCTTCCTTGTCGAGGAATCCATTCGGGATAATGGCTGCATTTATTATCGATGTGTTTACTCATGATTACTGTATTCACAAACACACGTCAGAGGCAGCTAGTTATTACTCGTCATACCACACATGTACACACTCACATATATAGATAAACATCAAGTGACATTATCCGGCATAAGCTGCCCGGCTCTTGCAGCGTCACGGGTACGTGTTATCCGGCAGCACGGCCGACATCACACTCTGATTGCATGTGCTGCACACGTCGGTATGGTACCACCAACCTACCTCTGTATGTATGTTTGTTGGGATTAGATGGAGACAGCGGTACAAAATACCGACATTTCATGGTAAGCCATTAACTTTGACTGCTGTGCGCTGACTTGACAAACATGTAAGTAAGTGTATACCGAAACAGTGGGATCATACATGTAAGTACGTCTGTGTGTCCGCCGTGCCACGCCGCCATCGCAACCCTGACCTCCTGGTCATCCTTCCATGCATGTTACAGACCTCTCTCTCTCTCTCTCTCTCTCTCTCTCTCTCTCTCTCTCTCTCTCTCTCTCTCTCTCTGTCTCTCTCCCTCTCTCTCTCCCCTCTCTCTCTCCTCTCTCTCTCCTCTCTCTGTGTCTCTCTCTCCCTCTCTGTGTCTCTCTCTCTCTCTCTCTCTCTCTCTCTCTCTCTCTCTCTCTCTCCCCTCTCTGTCTCCCTCTCTCTCTCTTGTCTCTCTGTGTCTATGTCTGTGTGTACCCCTGTCTCTGCGTCTATGTACATGGCTGTATATGTGCGTATTGTTGTCGTACGTGTGTGTGTGTGTGTGTGTGTGTGTGTGTGTGTGTGTGTGTGTGTGTGTGTGTGTGTGTGTGTGTGTGTGTGTGTGTGTGTGTGTGTGTGTGTGTGTGTGTGTGTGTGTGTGTGTGTGTGTCCGTCCATACGTCCATACACGTACGACAACAATACGCACATATACAGCCATACACATAGACGCAGAGACGGGGGCACACACAGACATACACACACACACACAGACATAGACACACACACACACACACACACACACACACACACACACACACATAGACATAGACACACACAGACAGACAGACATAGACACACACACAGACAGACATAGACACAGTGGTATGTCGTTGTCTGACTTGTATGCACGTATGGCTAGATGGACTACACACTGACTACAGTCCATCTGATTAGATACTGTACCGATTGCTGTGTACATAACTGTTCATCTGTATAGTGTGTAGGCAGTTTGTCTGTGTTTGTTCTGATGTTTGTTCAGTGTATGTGGCTTTATTCATAGATATGCCTAAAATATGAACAACTTGGGAAAGAAGAAAACAAACCACATTGTTCAAGTTTTCCATATACGTTGTACGCATGTCTAAAACATCATCCGTTTTGATGCCCCCGCCATATATGGCTGATCCGTCCGTCCGTCCGTACGAAACAGGGAATGTATTCTATCCACTTCTCCACAAAAAACGCTCTGTGGAATTCAATGAACTTATACATGGGCTTTCTTGGGACTCTAATGGTGTGCATCTAATGTTTTGTTTTTGTATTTTATTGTTATTTTTGTAAATTAAGAGACATTTGAACTTAGGTACATTTTGCTGAATTTCTCTATGATGATAGTGTAATAGGGGATGAAGTCTATCCACTTCTCCACAAAAACTGCTCAACAGAATTGAATGAACTTCTACATATCTTTCGTAGGGACTCTACAGGTGTGCATTTCATAACTTTTTTATGCAATTTCTTAATTTTGTCACTTTTACAGATGTTTGAACTTAGTTGAATTTGGTTCTATTCATCCTGTTCGTCCCATACAACAGGGGGTGTACTTTATCCACTTCTCCTCAAAAAACCACTTCACAAAACTCATTTAGCTGACATATGTCTTTTATAGAGACTCTAAAGGTGTGCATCTCATATTATTTTTTTTGTATTTTATATTTTTTTGTATGTTTAGAGACATTTGAACTTAGATAAATTTTGTTGAATTTCTCTCTGATGATAGTGAAATAGGGGATTAAGTCTATCCACTTCTCCCAAGTCAAAACATTGACTACAGAAGAGTCTCGTTTCCTGCTGACTGGGTTCCGTCCTGTTGCGCACCTTAGTACAATAACCAATCCAGAAATTTGAGACCAATTCATTCAGCCGGATACATAAATATTTATCAGTATTATTTGATACATCTAAGCACTTGTATATTGCAACACCTCGCTCCGTCTAATCGTTGCAAACACGTCGTGCAGCGTGCTCTGTCGTACAGCGGGCTCTGACAAACGGAAATCGTTGAAATCTCAAAACGAGGCTCTGCAGCTAGAAACGTTTGGCGGCCTAGTATGGACTTGGTATTATATCAATCAGATTGTGCGTTACAAACCCACACCAAATAAGCGCAAAGAACACATAACCGGTGTAACCAGTGAGACAGATGAATTGTGAATCATTTTACGACCTCATCAAACGGGCAGTATGTGACGTCTTAGTTAAGGTCATGCTGCCTCACCATCGCCATAAAATATAGAAATACGAAGTTATTAAAGTTTCAAAATTAACTTGTAAATACCATTTTCTTATGAAACAAGGAATTGGAATTCATTGTAACCATAGTTGTTTGTGGTGTCTCTTTTCACTTTCACACGAGAAAATTCGGATCGGCTGAAAAGTAGGTCATTGTCTGAATAGGTTATGAGACTCATGTTTCGGTTTGCAAAACTGCTCAACAGAATTGATTAAGCTTATACATGTGTTTCATTGGGACTCGAAAGGTGTGCATCTCATAGTTGCATAGATGTTTGTTGAACTTGTTCGTGAATTTTGTTCAATTATTGATCTCTTTAATATGATAATAGGTTGTGTTATCTAACCCCTCAACACATTGTTTTTAGTGTTTTCAAGTACTTCAGTGGGACCCTGAATGTGTGAACTCTTCCTACAGCAGCGGGGGCATCCGTGTCCCTGGACACAATTATTTCTTGTTTATATTTATTCAATTGCAAGCAGTTTCACGATTTTATGATTTATTGACCCGCCGTAGCGCATAACCTCCAGAATCCTATAATCGGTCGTTCGAATCCCAGATTCGCCATATCGTGCTCATGGGTTTTCTAGGTTTGGGAAAAAGTTTTAAACTTTCATCACTACGGGCTCTCGCTCTTCTCTGTTGTTGTCTTCGGATAACACTCAAACATAATCTCAGTACCCAATGTGTCTATATTCTTATGGCTCGCTGTTTGTAGGACATGACGTGACAATGGATCCGACGCACCCCGCCACCATCCCGGGAACGTCTTCCTCTTCCGCGCGACGACGTTGAAGGAGATACTGTACATGTGATCACACAATCAACTGTTACCAGGTAACAATCACAACCGAACGGTAACTCCCTGTACCATCATTAGCAAGGCGAAAACTACGAAACCATCAATCTGTGATCATCGCACAGCTTGTCCTTGGGAATGTCTTTAACCACCAACACCCCACCAGTCCAACCCTTCGGGATTCCTAGCAGGAAATGGCCCCCATCCATCTGTGATCATCGCACAGCTTGTCCTTGGGAATGTCTTTAACCACCAAATCCCCACCAGTCCAACCCTTCGGGATTCCTAGCAGGAAATGGCCCCCATCCATCTGTGATCATCGCACAGCTTGTCCTTGGGAATGTCTTTAACCACCAACACCCCACCAGTCCAACCCTTCGGGATTCCTAGCAGGAAATGGCCCCCATCCATCTGTGATCATCGCACAGCTTGTCCTTGGGAATGTCTTTAAATCCGCTACCTGTCATAGTTTGTCCACGACCGACCCTCAACCATCTCATGTTTTACTGCGTCTGTATCTTATCTGTGTAATGTTTCATATATTTTTTGAAATTATCAATTTGTAATGCCTGGCACATGTAAACATATAACGTGCACTTTTTCATTTGGCTCACTCAGTACTGTGAACTTGGGTAGTGAATCTCCCAACACTGCGTGTGGTCTGTGCTCTCTGTTATGTGTGTGATGCGACTTACTAATACACCAAGGTACTCTTTACAGGGACACAATGGATGCAGATCACATCATGCAGGCAAGTACATGCGATTCTTGTTATACACCACACAGGTGATATGTAGAATATAACTCACCTAGTATAACATTGGTAGGCAAGACATATTTACTCAATCGTTCAAACAGAAGTGTTTTCCAGCGCATTAGTTAAGATACAGGTTGTGGTTTGGAAAAGTCCATGTTTGTCAGACTACGAGATGGTAACACTATGTGTGGGCAGCCTGAATGTGTGCCGTGGAACCCCGAAGGCGTGGTGTGTTGCCCTACTTGCTATCAAAGTCGAGACTCGTATTTACACGGATTGTATAGAGCTGAGAACAAAAACAAAACAAAAACAAACAATATCCAGTCACCACTTATTTTTTATTTGTAATGTAAAGAACCGTAATTTTCCTCTTTGAATTTATAGCTTACCTTTTGTCGAAGTCAGTAACACCCGTGTGACGCCATAATATTGTTCTTACAGCTCCACCAGTTTCAGCTTAGACTCCAGCATGGGGAGCAGGACGTGCAGGGTAGGTAATCCCTGTATAAGTCATCCGCCAGGGGGCATGCTTAGGCAGAGTATAAGTCTTTACAAATGGATGCCAGGTGACCAACGTGACAAGTCAAAACACGCAGTGTGTCAACAAAGTTTGATTTAAATTGTTATTGATAAAGTTACCTTGGAAGCAAACTTTAGACTTTATGTCGTATGTCTCCTGGATAAATGAGACATGATCATATCCTGTCATAATGGCCCCCTTCCCTTACGTCCTCACTAATAGTTTTAAACTGTAGGGTCGAAGACAGAGCTGGACCAGCTGTCGGGCCATAGCTGCAGGTGTATGTAGGCTGACTGGGTGTTTGTTTGCCAGTGTTGACCGTAAAAGATCCCATGTGACTTGTGGATGAACTTGAAATGAGCGGGTCGATATTCAGGTTATGTACACATAACCGGACCATCACCCGGTGATCACCGGTCAGCCACCTGGACATCTATGGTGGAGCCCATCATGATCACAGATGACACGATCCATAACTCGTGATTATAGTAATTTTATACTCTCATCGTTCATCAGCAACCCAGGCTTGTATTCACCCGCGAAGTTACGGGTTAGGATTGGTCTTCACCAAACCATATTTGCTGTAAGATGCATCTCACGTGGTCGGGTGGTCAGGCTCGCTGACTTGGTTGCAGTACCCAGTTGCGTAGATCTATGTCATGATGTTAATCATTGGATTGTCTGGTCCAGACTCGATTATTTACAGAGGCTCGTCATATAGTTAGAAAGACCAAATCCAAAGACCTTTTCAGGTCTCTCCTTAAAACCCACCTCTTCCGCTCAGCATTCCACTAGACTTTCAGGAAAGTGTGTTTATTTGTGCATGGAATTGGTTGTAACTTCATAGCGGCAGTGGGCACCTGTCGATGGATACAAGGCGCTTAAGAAATCAATTCTTGTTTTTCATTATTATTTTGTTGGGGTTGGCGCTAAACAACAAAGTATATAAACAGTAATATTGTAAGTCCGCAGAATGTCAAGTCACAGGTGGTTATCAAAGACAGATTCGTGTGTAATCAAGAGCCTGGCGCCACCAGACGTGGCTTTACGTTGAACGATTTCGTTTCAGTGCATATGTCATCCTCGGTGCGACAGTAAACTGCACTCTAACCACCTTCTTCTCTCACCTAGATACTCAGATTTAATTCAATTGTCTAGATATTAGAAATACCTGTCTTAGAAAAAACGTCCACCGTTCTGAGGGAGACCAATATACGTCCTTGAAGAGGGTCACTGCAGATTTGCCTAGTTCCTCATCATCCCTGTCAAGGGGCGGTGGGGTAGCCTAGTGGTTAAAGCGTTGGCTCGTCACGCCGAAGACCCGGGTTCGATTCCCCACATGGGCAAAATGTGTGAAGCCCATTTCTAGTGTCCCCCGCCGTGATATTGCTGGAATATTGCTAAAAGCGGCGTAAAATCAAACTCACTCACTCATCCCTGTCAATAATGTTCGTGAAATCTTTTGCCAGATACGTCGCCAGACCAAGCAAGTCACGAGCCCGTGGAGAGGTCCGACACTGCACTCCATGTTGCCTGCAAAGCGGGTGATCTGGACAGCGTCCAACAGACCTTGATAGAGGCGGACGTCAACAGTCGGGGGCTTCACGGCAGGACGGCAGTGATGGAGGCAGCACGGAGGGGTCTCAGAGAGATGTTGCATTTACTTGTGAACAAAGGAGGTGACCTGTCGCTGATCGACGACAACGGTAACAACATTCTTCATATGGCGTGTCTGGGCGGAAATATTGAGATCGTTAAGCATGTCCTCTCGCAAGACGTTGTGGACATCAATAGCAGAGGACAGTACGGGCGAACAGCAGTGATGTTCGCGGCAGAGAAAGGTCACTGTGAAGTGTTTGATATTCTTGTGAGTGGTGGTGGTGATGTGTCTCTCGTGGACGGCAGCGGTAACAGCATCCTTCATGTTGCCTGTATAGGCGGAAACGTGGACATGGTGAAGTACGTCCTCTCACAGAACCTTGTAGACATCAACAGCGGGGGACAATACGGGCGGACGCCACTGATGTCAGCGGTGGGGAAAGGGCGAAGGGACGTGTTTGATCTGCTTGTGAGCAGTGGTGGGGATGTGTCCCTTGTCGACAGCAGCAGTAACAGCATCCTGCATCTAGCCTGTATCGGGGGCCACGTGGATATGGTGAAGTATGTCCTCTCACTTGACGTCGTGGACATCAATGTTAGAGGTCAGTATGGGCGGACACCGTTGATGTCGTCAGCATGGCGGGGCCACAGGAAAGTGTTCGATTTTCTTGTGAGTAAAGGAGGTGATGTTGCTGTCGTGGACGATGATGGGAACAACATCCTTCATTTAGCCTGTATTGGAGCACAAGTGGAGATGGTCAAATACATCCTCTCACAGGACGTAGTAGATACCAACAGCAGGGGTCAGTTTGGGAGGACTCCTCTGATGATAGCAGCTGAAAAGGGGTATAGGGTAGTGTTTGATCTTCTTGTAAACAAAGGAGGTGACGTGTCTCTTGTAGATGACGACGGTAACAACATACTTCATGTAGCCTGTATTGGGGGACATGTGGAGATGGTAAAATATGTCCTATCGCATGACCCAATGGAAATCAAAAGTAGAGGACAGTACGGGAGGACGCCGGTTCTGCTGGCAGCAGAGAAAGGTCACAGAGACGTTTTGACTTGCTCGTGAGTAAAGGTGACAATGTATCGTTCACTGACGACGACGGGAACAACATCCTCCACATGGCGTGTATTGGAGGTCAGGTTAACATGGTGCAGTATGTTCTTTCGCTGAACATCGTTGACATCAACAGCAAGGGTCAACATGGACGAACTCCGGTGATGTTTGCCGCGGAGAAAGGACATAAGGATGTGTTTGACCTGCTTGTCAAAGAGAAGGCAGACGCCTCACTAGTGGATGATGACAGTAACAACATATTCCACGTGGCCTGTATTGGGGGCCAGGCGGAGATGGTGAAACATGTCCTAGCCCAGAATATTGTGGACATCCCGATGGATCCCAGACGCACTCATCTGTACGTCAACCCGCGTAAACGATCGGTGTGCTTCTGAGTCATATTTGAATTGCAGTAACTCCTAGATTCGCCCCAGATCATTTCAGCATGTCGAACACACGAGTGTTTCCCGTGGTTCAACCTGCATCAGTAACGGGGCACTCCTTCATCACACCGACATCCTGATGCTATACACAAAGAAGTTAATTAAACACCCCCTGTATTTTTGCAATGATAGGTTTTCAACACGTACATAAAGCTTTTCGCGGTGACTATGATGGAAAAACATGGGTTTTTCTGACCCGTATGATCCTTTGACTCATGAAAAACGACAAAATGATAATTACTTCTTTTAAAAAACCCTCCACACACTGAATTTCATACAAAACCATGTCTGTACAAGTATGACCCTGAAATGTTTAATGTTAAATATATTGGTGAATGTGAACGTTCAGAATGTCATTTTGCGTGTCTTACACGAATCAAGGTCAATACCGAGTGTAACCTCCATGTAACTGTATGACAGCCGGCACCCTCCTCCTCATACTCTCTGCCAGCCTCCTCAAGTCTACGCCATTCCTCGTGTCAAACAGCTTCCAATTGGGCCAGATTATGTCCAGGAGGATCCCTTTATTGCACACGACGACCAATCATGTCCCAGATATGGTCCAAAGGGACAAGGTCGGGGCTCAGTCAATCGTGAGATATGTCAGGGAGTGCTTAACTAAGTTCATTGTGTATATAAACAAGCCTGTCAGCGTGATGTGGTAGAAAATCCCGGTCTGATGTTGGTCGGAGGCGTTTACTCCATATCCGAATCCTTCCAGCACGGGAATGATGCCAAATAGACCTAAAACATCTCAGCGCGATTCTGGGATGATAACCAACGACCATAGGATTCTGGCACGTCTCTCTGCGACATCGTTTCTTATACGACAGGGCCACCCTAGGAATGTCATCCTAAGTACCATGACACGGCAGCCATATCATCTGCCTTGTACAGTCAAGTGCAGCCGAGTCAGTGTTCTTAAGGTCAAGGAACAGATGTGTTAAGATGGTGTTCTATATGATTAATTTATGCAGATATATCCAAAAGTTCATATTTATATTATTGTGTTTTTCTAGAAACACAGGTGGGTATTCCAGATAACAATCAGGTAACAATTTGTCGGAAGAGACGGCTTGGTTGTTCAACTGATTGATTGCATATCCTTGTTACCCTGGATCGTGGCTCGTTATACCCATCACTGGATTGTCTGGTCCAGACTCGGGTTACATAGAGGCCACGGTAATACAGGTACAATATATCTTACTGCAGCGTCACACAATATTTCAGGAGCTCACGCGTCCAGAACCTGAAGTCTTAACAGTCCACCCTTAACAGTCCACCCTTAACAGTCCACCCTTAACAGTCCACCTATAAGTAATTATTACTAATGATAAGTTAACAGTAAATATATATGGTCTTAGCCACTCCTCACCCAGTTTCTATATTCAGACCAATATTTTCATTATCAAATACATCGTTAACATAATTAAACAGACGTACAAATGAAAGTACACACCTGGTGTTTTGGAATTATTTGAAAAGTGTTGTTATTTTGACTGGCAACTTCGCAATTGGACACATCTGTGGTGTTTTGGCAACATATTAGGAAAGTCTGTGACTCTTTAAAAACTCTTTTCAAAACATTTGCGTCGCTTTTTGGAAAGTAATCCAAAAGCCCCGGATGTGTACTTTCTTTTGTACGTCAGGTTATGTATGAAGAACGGGATATTTAAGACGAGTCGTTTTCTTTAAGTCTGAACTGTTTCGTGTGAATATCTGGAACACAAGTCAGCAAAACCTGAAACATTGTTTGGTTATATTACGTCATACATTTTACACTTTGTGAATAAACTGCAGGTAACGCTTAATGAGAATTTATCAACCAACATTTTTAATTGATATTAAGGCTATGAATGCTATTTGTTGAAATAGTTGGCGGGTTTTGTAGATCAAATATTGCCCACGCAGCTAGCGCATACAGGTCTGTTTGTGATACGGCAGATATATATTATCCATGAATTTACTGTATCAATAAAACATGAATGCATTGTTGTCCTGTTTCACGTCTCCACCATTGGGATCGGCATTCTCGCGACACACATGACATGTGGCGCTGATCAACATAACACTGCTTATGTGATGTTAAGGTCAAGGCTCATACAAAGGTGTAAAGGCTGCACATATGTTTCATATTAGCACTGAACACATTGCCCAGATTGTTATCTTGGAGAAGAATGAAATCTCAACCACTGGTGTAAACCCCGTATATACTGTCAACATTAGTACTGAACACACTGTTCAGATCAGATTGTTATCTTGGAGAAGAATGAAATCTCAACCACTGGTGTAAACCCCGTATATACTGTCAACATTAGTACTGAACACACTGTTCAGATCAGATTGTTATCTTGGAGAAGAATGAAATCTCAACCTCTGGTGTAAACCCCGTATATACTGTCAACATTAGTACTGAACACACTGTTCAGATCAGATTGTTATCTTGGAGAAGAATGAAATCTCAACCTCTGGTGTAAACCCCGTATATACTGTCAACATTAGTACTGAACACACTGTTCAGATCAGATTGTGATCCATGGGCAGAATGAAATTTCAACCTCTGGTGTAAACCCCGTATATACTGTCAGAATTGCCTGATGATCCGGAAAAAAGACCCTGAGAGATCAACTGAAAATAACATGGTTAATATGTTCGAACAATTGATGTTTTACGGAACAGGTAAGAATTAGGATGAGATAAATAATCATTAGACGGGATACTGATGCTTGATATCGCAGACTGAATCACCGACTCTGTTTTAGCACCGATTGAAAGATATTTCCGTAATGTCCATGTGTGTGAGCTTAATGTTGGAAGGATGTCTGACGTTTTCGTTATAAATACCTTAGACGTTTGCCACGGCGAGCCCCATTAGAATCGTGCTGACAGACCAAGAAACGTCATCGTTGGAATCTGGGGTTCGAACTCCTCATACTCACTCCTCATGTGCGCCGCTCCATCCAGCGAATGGCAGCGGCCCCGTGTAGTATCACTAAGGCCCCGACTCCGCATCCTCTGCGACTTTTGCGAGTCATGGAAAGCCCAGCAATGAGATGCGGAACTCTGTGCATTGCCCTTCAGGTGCGGTGGGGTAGCCCAGTGGTTAAAGCGTTCGCTCGTCACGCCGAAGACCCGGGTTCGATTCCCCACATGGGTACAATGTGTGAAATCCATTTCTTGTGTCCCTCGCCGTGATATTGCTGGAATATTGCTAAAAGCGGCGTAAACCGCACTCACTCACTCATTCCCCCTCAAAACCACAACTCCGGATTGTCTAGTCCCAACTGTATCATGACAGTGTTGAATCAAGAGTGAGGACACCAGCTGTCACAGCGGAAAGATAAGCCTATGCTGCCCCATCGGTGGCACTCGTCGCGAAACACATGCAAAGGGAAGTCAAGTGCTTATTTAAAAGAACACGTGGTGCAAGTGAAAACTGAGAAATGTATACATATTATCACTACGAAAATGTGAAAATGTCCTCGACATGTCTACCATAAAACCTTCTAAATCCTACAAAGGCTTTGAATCTCTCTCGGCGATAATCGACACTCGTTAGACTCTGACGCCGTTTTACGTTCACATCACTTATCTCCCTTTACAAGATTACCTGAACGAGTCAGTTTCAGCTCAAACAAATGAATGAACACTACACGTTGGGAATCATGAATACTGGGCAGGGTCAGCTGATTATCTTGTTTATGGTTATCAGTACTTGAGATGGACTACACTTAAGTTTACTGTAACAGCATATACCCCTTCCCCATGTGAAGCAGATCAATGTTAGATACTTGATATAGACAGTACATTGACTATTTTCCCTCGCGGATCAATGTCAGTCACTGGTTTGACTGAACAATATTTCCAGGCCGCAGTCAAGATATTGGAGTGCTTCTGAACACGGACAACTGTTACAGTGATTTCCATGGCCATCAATAGTCTGTGAGTGAGTTCGAGGTGGATTTCACAGTATTTCAGTTATACCCGGTGTGTCAGATTGACGTGGGAATATTTCAGCTATATCCTGGTGTGTCAGCTTGACGTGGGAGTATTTCAGTTATATCATAGTGTGTCAGCTTGATGTGGGAGTATTTCAGTTATGTACTGGTGTGTCAGCTTGATGTGGCAGTATTTCAGTTATATCCTGGTGTGTCAGCTTGACGTGGGAGTATTTCAGCTATATCCTGGTGTGTCAGCTTGATGTGGGAGTATTTCAGTTATATCCTGGAGTGTCAGCTTGATGTGGGAGTATTTCAGTTATATACTGGTGTGTCAGCTTGACGTGGGAGTATTTCAGTTATACCCGGTGTGTCAGCTTGATGTTGGAGTATTTCAGCTATATCCTGGTGTGTCAGCTTGATGTGGGAGTATTTCAGTTATATCCTGGTGTGTCAGCTTGATGAGGGAGTATTTCAGTTATATCATAGTGTGTCAGCTTGACGTGGGAATATTTCAGCTATATCCTGGTGTGTCAGCTTGTCGTGGGAGTATTTCAGTTATATCCTGGTGTGTCAGCTTGATGTGGGAGTATTTCAGTTATATACTGGTGTGTCAGCTTGATGTGGGAGTATTTCAGTTATATCATAGTGTGTCAGCTTGATGTGGGAGTATTTCAGTTATATACTGGTGTGTCAGCTTGATGTGGGAGTATTTCAGTTATATACTGGTGTGTCAGCTTGATGTGGGAGTATTTCAGTTATATCCTGGTGTGTCAGCTTGATGTGGGAGTATATCAGTTATATCCTGGTGTGTCAGCTTGATGTGGGAGTATTTCAGTTATACCCGGTGTGTCAGCTTGATGTGGGAGTATATCAGTTATATCCTGGTGTGTCAGCTTGATGTGGGAGTATTTCAGTTATACCCGGTGTGTCAGCTTGATGTGGGAGTATTTCAGCTATATCCTCGTGTGTCAGCTTGATGTGGGAGCATTTCAGTTATATACTGGTGTGTCAGCTTGATGAGGGAGTATTTCAGTTATATCATAGTGTGTCAGCTTGATGTGGGAGTATTTCAGTTATATCCTGGTCTGTCAGCTTGATGTAGGAGTATTTCAGTTATATCCTGGTGTGTCTGCTTGATGTGGGAGTATTTCAGTTATATCCTGGTGTGTCAGCTTGATGTGTCAGTGTTTCAGTTATATACTGGTGTGTCAGCTTGATGAGGGAGTATTTCAGTTATATCCTGGTGTGTCAGCTTGATGTGGGAGTATTTCAGTTATATACTGGTGTGTCAGCTTGATGAGGGAGTATTTCAGTTATATCCTGGTGTGTCAGCTTGATGTGAGAGTATTTAAGTTATATCATAGTGTGTTAGCTTGATGTGTCAGTATTTCAGTTATATCCTGGTGTGTCAGCTTGATGAGGGATCATTTCAGTTATATCCTGGTGTGTCAGCTTGATGTGTCAGTATTTCAGTTATATACTGGTGTGTCAGCTTGATGTGGGAGTATTTCAGTTATATACTGGTGTGTCAGCTTGATGTCAGTATTTCAGTTATATACTGGTGTGTCAGCTTGATGTGGGAGTATTTCAGTTATACCCGGTGTGTCAGCTTGATGTGGGAGTATTTCAGTTATATACTGGTGTGTCAGCTTGATGTGGGAGTATTTCAGTTATATACTGGAGTGTCAGCTTGATGTGGGAGTATTTCAGTTATATACTGGTGTGTCAGCTTGATGTGGGAGTATTTCAGTTATATCCTGGTGTGTCAGCTTGATGTGGGAGTATTTCAGTTATATACTGGTGTGTCAGCTTGATGTGGGAGTATTTCAGTTATATACTGGTGTGTCAGCTTGATGTGGGAGTATTTCAGTTATATCCTGGTGTGTCAGCTTGATGTGGGAGTATTTCAGTTATATCCTGGTGTGTCAGCTTGATGTGGGAGTATTTCAGTTATATACTGGTGTGTCAGCTTGATGTGGGAGTATTTCAGTTATATCCTGGTGTGTCAGCTTGATGTGTCAGTATTTCAGTTATATACTGGTGTGTCAGCTTGACGTGGGAGTATTTCAGTTATATCCTGGTGTGTCAGCTTGATGTGGGAGTATTTCAGTTATATACTGGTGTGTCAGCTTGATGTGGGAGTATTTCAGCTTATATCCTGGTGTGTCAGCTTGATGTGGGAGTATTTCAGCTATATCCTGGTGTGTCAGCTTGATGTGGGAGTATTTCAGTTATATCCTGGTGTGTCAGCTTGATGTGGGAGTATTTCAGTTATATACTGGTGTGTCAGCTTGATGTGGGAGTATTTCAGTTATATCCTGGTGTGTCAGCTTGATGTGGGAGTATTTCAGTTATATCCTGGTGTGTCAGCTTGATGTGGGAGTATTTCAGTTATATCCTGGTGTGTCAGCTTGATGTGGGAGTATTTCAGTTATATCCTGGTGTGTCAGCTTGATGTGGGAGTATTTCAGCTATATCCTGGTGTGTCAGCTTGATGTGGGAGTATTTCAGTTATATCCTGGAGTGTCAGCTTGATGTGGGAGTATTTCAGTTATATACTGGTGTGTCAGCTTGACGTGGGAGTATTTCAGTTATATACCGGTGTGTCAGCTTGATGTGGGAGTATTTCAGTTATATCCTGGTGTGTCAGCTTGATGTGGGAGTATTTCAGTTATATCCTGGTGTGTCAGCTTGATGAGGGAGTATTTCAGTTATATCATAGTGTGTCAGCTTGACGTGGGAATATTTCAGCTATATCCTGGTGTGTCAGCTTGTCGTGGGAGTATTTCAGTTATATCCTGGTGTGTCAGCTTGATGTGGGAGTATTTCAGTTATATACTGGTGTGTCAGCTTGATGTGGGAGTATTTCAGTTATATCATAGTGTGTCAGCTTGATGTGGGAGTATTTCAGTTATATACTGGTGTGTCAGCTTGATGTGGGAGTATTTCAGTTATATACTGGTGTGTCAGCTTGATGTGGGAGTATTTCAGTTATATCCTGGTGTGTCAGCTTGATGTGGGAGTATATCAGTTATATCCTGGTGTGTCAGCTTGATGTGGGAGTATTTCAGTTATACCCGGTGTGTCAGCTTGATGTGGGAGTATATCAGTTATATCCTGGTGTGTCAGCTTGATGTGGGAGTATTTCAGTTATACCCGGTGTGTCAGCTTGATGTGGGAGTATTTCAGCTATATCCTCGTGTGTCAGCTTGATGTGGGAGCATTTCAGTTATATACTGGTGTGTCAGCTTGATGAGGGAGTATTTCAGTTATATCATAGTGTGTCAGCTTGATGTGGGAGTATTTCAGTTATATCCTGGTCTGTCAGCTTGATGTAGGAGTATTTCAGTTATATCCTGGTGTGTCTGCTTGATGTGGGAGTATTTCAGTTATATCCTGGTGTGTCAGCTTGATGTGTCAGTGTTTCAGTTATATACTGGTGTGTCAGCTTGATGAGGGAGTATTTCAGTTATATCCTGGTGTGTCAGCTTGATGTGGGAGTATTTCAGTTATATACTGGTGTGTCAGCTTGATGAGGGAGTATTTCAGTTATATCCTGGTGTGTCAGCTTGATGTGAGAGTATTTAAGTTTATTTCATTATATCCTGGTGTGTCAGCTTGATGTGGGAGTATTTCAGTTATATACTGGTGTGTCAGCTTGATGTGGGAGTATTTCAGTTATATCCTGGTGTGTCAGCTTGATGTGGAAGTATTTCAGTTATATACTGGTGTGTCAGCTTGATGTGGAGTATTTTCAGTTATATCCTGATGTGGGATGTATTTCAGTTATATCATGGTGTGTCAGCTTGATGTGTCAGTATTTCAGTTATATACTGGTGTGTCAGCTTGATGTGGGAGTATTTCAGTTATACCCGGTGTGTCAGCTTGATGTGTCAGTATTTCAGTTATGTACTGGTGTGTCAGCTTGATGTGGGAGTATTTCAGTTATATACTGGTGTGTCAGCTTGATGTCAGTATTTCAGTTATATACTGGTGTGTCAGCTTGATGTGGGAGTATTTCAGTTATACCCGGTGTGTCAGCTTGATGTGGGAGTATTTCAGTTATATACTGGTGTGTCAGCTTGATGTGGGAGTATTTCAGTTATATACTGGAGTGTCAGCTTGATGTGGGAGTATTTCAGTTATATACTGGTGTGTCAGCTTGATGTGGGAGTATTTCAGTTATATACTGGTGTGTCAGCTTGATGTGGGAGTATTTCAGTTATATACCGGTGTGTCAGCTTGATGTGGGAGTATTTCAGTTATATCCTGGTGTGTCAGCTTGATGTGGGAGTATTTCAGTTATATCCTGGTGTGTCAGCTTGACGTGGGAGTATTTCAGTTATATCCTGGTGTGTCAGCTTGATGTGGGAGTATTTCAGTTATATACTGGTGTGTCAGCTTGATGTGGGAGTATTTCAGTTATATCATAGTGTGTCAGCTTGATGTGGGAGTATTTCAGTTATATCCTGGTGTGTCAGCTTGATGTGGGAGTATTTCAGTTATATACTGGTGTGTCAGCTTGATGTGGGAGTACTTCAGTGATATACTGGTGTGTCAGCTTGATATGGGAGTATTTCAGTTATATCCTGGTGTGTCAGCTTGATGTGGGAGTATATCAGTTATATCCTGGTGTGTCAGCTTGATGTAGGAGTATTTCAGTTATACCCTGGTGTGTCAGCTTGATGTGGGAGTATTTCAGTTATATCCTGGTGTGTCAGCTTGATGTGTCAGTATTTCAGTTATATACTGGTGTGTCAGCTTGATGTGGGAGTATTTCAGTTATATCCTGGTGTGTCAGCTTGATGTGGGAGCATTTCAGTTATATACTGGTGTGTCAGCTTGTCGTGGGAGTATTTCAGCTATATCCTGGTGTGTCAGCTTGTCGTGGGAGTATTTCAGCTATATCCTGGTGTGTCTGCTTGATGTGGGAGTATTTCAGTTATATCCTGGTGTGTCAGCTTGATGTGTCAGTATTTCAGTTATATACTGGTGTGTCAGCTTGATGAGGGAGTATTTCACTTATATCCTGGTGTGTCAGCTTGATGAGGGAGTATTTCACTTATATCCTGGTGTGTCAGCTTGATGTGGGAGTATTTCAGTTATATCCTGGTGTGTCAGCTTGATGTGGGAGTATTTCAGTTATATCCTGGTGTGTCAGCTTGATGTGGGAGTATTTCAGTTATATACTGGTGTGTCAGCTTGATGTGGGAGTATTTCAGTTATATCCTGGTGTGTCAGCTTGATGTGTCAGTATTTCAGTTATATACTGGTGTGTCAGCTTGATGTGGGAGTATTTCAGTTATATACCGGTGTGTCAGCTTGATGTGTCAGTATTTCAGTTATATACTGGTGTGTCAGCTTGATGTGGGAGTATTTCAGTTATATACCGGTGTGTCAGCTTGATGTGGGAGTATTTCAGTTATATACCGGTGTGTCAGCTTGATGTGGGAGTATTTCAGTTATATACTGGTGTGTCAGCTTGATGTGGGAGTATTTCAGTTATATCCTGGTGTGTCAGCTTGATGTGGGAGTATTTCAGTTATATACTGGTGTGTCAGCTTGATGTGGGAGTATTTCAGTTATATCCTGGTGTGTCAGCTTGATGTGAGAGTATTTCAGTTATATCCTGGTGTGTCAGCTTGATGTGGGAGTATTTCAGTTATATCCTGGTGTGTCAGCTTGATGTGGGAGTATTTCAGTTATATCCTGGTGTGTCAGCTTGATGTGGGAGTATTTCAGTTATATACTGTGTGTCAGCTTGATGTGGGGAGTATTTCAGTTATATCCTGGTGTGTCAGCTTGATGTGGGAGTATTTCAGTTATATCCTGTGTGTCAGCTTGATGTGGGAGTATTTCAGTTATATACTGGTGTGTCAGCTTGATGTGGGAGTATTTCAGTTATATCCTGGTGTGTCAGCTTGATGTGGGAGTATTTCAGTTATATCCTCCTGTGTGTCAGCTTGATGTGGGAGTATTTCAGTTATATCCTGGTGTGTCAGCTTGATGTGGGAGTATTTCAGTTATATACCCTGGTGTGTCAGCTTGATGTGGGAGTATTTCAGTTATATCCTGGTGTGTCAGCTTGATGTGTCAGTATTTCAGTTATATACTGGTGTGTCAGCTTGATGTGGGAGTATTTCAGTTATATCCTGGTGTGTCAGCTTGATGTGGGAGTATTTCAGTTATATACTGGTGTGTCAGCTTGTCGTGGGGAGTATTTCAGCTATATCCTGGTGTGTCAGCTTGATGTGGGAGTATTTCAGTTATATCCTGGTGTGTCAGCTTGATGTGGGAGTATTTCAGTTATATCCTGGTGTGTCAGCTTGATGTGTCAGTATTTCAGTTATATACTGGTGTGTCAGCTTGATGAGGGAGTATTTCAGTTATATCCTGGTGTGTCAGCTTGATGAGGGAGTATTTCAGTTATATCCTGGTGTGTCAGCTTGATGTGGGAGTATTTCAGTTATATACTGGTGTGTCAGCTTGATGTGGGAGTATTTCAGTTATATCCTGGTGTGTCAGCTTGATGTGGGAGTATTTCAGTTATATACTGGTGTGTCAGCTTGATGAGGGAGTATTTCAGTTATATCCTGGTGTGTCAGCTTATGTGAGAGCATTTCAGTTATATACTGGTGTGTCGGCTTGATGTGGGAGTATTTCAGTTATATCCTGGTGTGTCAGCTTGATGTGTCAGTATTTCAGTTATATACTGGTGTGTCAGCTTGATGTGGGAGTATTTCAGTTATATACCGGTGTGTCAGCTTGATGTGGGAGTATTTCAGTTATATACCGGTGTGTCAGCTTGATGTGGGAGTATTTCAGTTATATACTGGTGTGTCCGCTTGATGTGGGAGTATTTCAGTTATATCCTTGTTTGTCAGTTTGATGTGGGAGTTCTTGTTAGATACTGGTGTGTCAGCTTGATGTGGGAGTATTTCAGTTATATCCTTGTTTGTTAGCTTGATGTGGGAGTATTTCAGTTATATACTGGTGTGTCAGCTTGATATGGGAGTATTTCAGTTATATCCTTGTTTGTCAGTTTGATGTGGGAGTACTTGTTATATACTGGTTTGTCAGCTTGATGTGGGAGTATTTCAGTTATATCCTGGTGTGTCAGCTTGATGTGGGAGTATTTCAGTTATATCCTTGTTTGTTAGCTTGATGTGGGAGTATTTCAGTGATATACTGGTGTGTCAGCTTGATGTGGGAGTATTTCAGTTATAATACAGTGTGCTAACAATTATCATGGGAATCACGATTATCAGGACTGCAATATGCAACTCTGGTAGACAAATGAGCCACTCCTAGTGAGGTTTGACATAAACACAAGAAAACACAAACTACAGCAGGTAACTTCTTCCATCCTTTATTTCAACCATTTAACACACAGCACTATGACGATGGCAGGAGAAGCTCGATAACAGAACAACCATCTGAGCCTCATCCTCAATGATTCCCAGAATGTCGCTTCTTTTGACTACAGAGAATTTACTTAGAGAATCCAGAGACACCATCATCTTCCTCTTAAGATGTTCATCACTTGTTAACCAGAGAGTCAACATTGTAATAACCTTGACTTGAAAGTTTATTACTCTTCTCAATATACATGAATGAACAGCCATGGATATAATGCTCAGAACTTAAATAGTACGTTCGCTTTGTCTGGGTTGTATCCTGGGGCATACTTCAAATCCGGAATCTGCAAAAATAAAATATCAATGACTGACAAATTCTACCAAAACACTCTGGTCGGCTGTAGCTCACACAGCAATTCTGTGTTCTGTTTACTTTTTAAACCAACTGAAAAGCTAATTAAGAGTCTTGTTAAATGATGTCCCCATTGAAAAACTTCTAGTTTTCAAACTATGTTGTGTACACATTATTAAAAAGCTTCCTGCAGCACTAGTTAGTTGGTTTGTTATTGATGCTGCTGCACTCAGCAATATTCCAGCTATATGGCAGTGGTCTGCAAATAACTGAATCTGAAGCAATCCATTGATCAACAACATGAGCATCAATCTACACAATTGAGATACAATGACATGTGTCAACCAAGTCAGCGACCCTGACCACCCGATCATGTTAGTTGCTTCTTACGACAAGCATGGGTTGCTGAAGACCAATTCTAACCCGCATCTTCAGGCGTCTCCTGCAAGATACTTGTCTTGAGGGCTCATAAGCTAATCTTGATCCAAATGTCACTGTGGCGCCAGTCCCATACAATACATTGTGCTATACATACACTATCAATCAGCAGGATAAACTCCCTCAATGCCAATGCCACTGTATGCGCCAGTCCCATACAATACATTGGATAAACTCCCTCCAATGTCACTGTGGCGCCAGTCCCATACAATACATTGTGCTATACATACACTATCAACCAGCAGGATAAACTCCCTCAATGTCACTGTGGCGCCAGTCCCATACAATACATTGTGCTATACATACACTATCAACCAGCAGGATAAACTCCCTCAATGTCACTGTGGCGCCAGTCCCATACAATACATTGTGCTATACATACACTATCAACCAGCAGGATATACTCCCTCAATGTCACTGTGGCGCCAGTCCCATACAATACATTGTGCTATACATACACTATCAACCAGCAGGATAAACTCCCTCAAGTCGTCACCGCTGACCATCATCTCGGGTGCATCCCACGGTGCCGGTATCTGGAACAGGTTCTCGATCTGCCACTTGGACGACATCCTGGAACAAAGCAGGTATTGTCATACTTCACGTCGAAAACACTAGACTGAAAGAAGAAGGCATCAGAAATGTTGACACCTTGCTGAATAAAATTACAGACCACAACGACCACCCAGTGGATGAGGAACTGGAACCCACAACTTGGCAGTGAACAGGTCAAAGTACTTCATAGAACATGGAGACATGTAATTTTTTGATTAAAATTGATATTTTATACTTATCCTGACTCATGCTTAATTGCTTGTCTCTTTCTTCTTGCGAATGATAGTGAAACATTTGAATCCCCTTTTGAAGCTCCCTTAAAAAAAGCGGACGTAAAATCACTCACCCAGTGTTATCACCCTTGTGACTCTTTTGGCAGGAAAATGCGTCACATGATCAGACATGCCCCTCACTCTCTCCTGAATAAGCGCCCGACACCTGGTTTAGAGGGAATCCAGAGTGCCATGAGGGGAGGTTGGGAGGGTTTACCTCATGAGTCAGGATAAGTATAAAATATCAATTTTAATAAAGAAATTACATATTTTTCCTTATCCTGACTCATGCTTAATTGCTTGTAGAATCCACCAGAAACTGTGGTGGGTCAAGCCACTCTGGATTCCATGCTGATTTACACCCTGCATACCCCCCTGAGGGAACTTCTTATAGTACTATGCTGATCCTTCCTTCCAGCTTCCTCTGATGAGTTTGGGGGACCACAACTTGTCAGATTTCCGGAACCGCTTCTCCTGACAGTAACAGTGGATTTACACTACTCCATGATTTGATTCCGCATCAATGGAGAAGTGACTTCGTAGTGGTAACGGAGAAAGTAGTGCTTGAGATATCATTTGTTGTATCTTGAACCAACGCTCCTCTGGGATGACTATGCGATTCAGCGATGTGATGAACCGTATTCCTAGTAATTGCAGATCCTGTGTGGGTTCTAGTTCCGATTTGAGGAGATTTACTAGCCATCCTAGTTGTGTGAGTAGCCTGATTGTGAAGTCTAGTTGCAGTCTGAGTTGACTGGGATCTTGATGAGCTTGAATCCCGTCGTCCAGGTAAAACGCACTGCGTAGACCTCGATGATGTAGATAAGTGATGATTGGCTTTGTCACTTGAGTAAACAACCAGGGGGCCGACGATATTCCAAATGGTAGCACCTTCCAATGGAAGTGACGTCCGTTGAAGAGGAATCGTAGGTATTTCCTTGAGTCCGGATGTATCGGGATGTGAAGATACGCCATCCTGTAGATCTATGCTGGCGAGGTAGTCTAATGGACGTACGAGTTGTCGCAGTTGAGGCAGATGTATCATTCTGAACTTTGCGTGGCTGGGTAGATAATCTTGATTGAATTTCCTCATGTTGTATATAAGTCGGACTTTTCCTTGGAATTTTTCTTTGGTACTAAGAAGATTGGGGAGTAAAAACCGGGTGTGACGAACTCCTGTTTTATTTCTTCGATCGCCTCCTTCTCGAGTAGAGTTGTGATGGCGTGGAGTAGGTTCTCCCTCTGGTCGGCAGCATAGTTGTGGGCCAGAGAGTTGCTTGTCAATGGTGGTACTGCTTGTAGTTGTATCTTGTATCCTCTGCGTAGGATCTGGGATACGTAGTCATCCTGAAGAATTCCCCAATTCTTCCAGTAGCATTGTAGACGTCCACCCACTGTTGAAGGTTGTATGGGAACGGCTGGGGACGGAAGACTCCAGTCGTTCCGAACCCGTCCTTCAGCGTTAAAGTTCCTGGCACCTCTGGATGCCCTGCCTCTTCCGGGGTTACCTCTGGGAGCTCCGGTTGGGCGACGAAAAGAATCCTTGCCTCCTCTGGAACTGCCGTATTTCTTTTCCCTGGCTCTTTGTATTCCTGTAAACTTCGACTTGCCAGAGTAGCGTTACGAGGTCTGACGGATAACACTCCAGTGTGTCGATGGACTTGATCATCATTACCTCTCTTGACTCTTTCGTTACTTCCTTGGCCATGTCCTCAATTTCCCCTGCGAAGATAAATGGTGCTGACCACGGAGCTCTGTATAGTGACTTGGTGAAGCGTTCACTCCACGTACAGGAAGATAGTAATCCTTGTCTTCTTAATAGTGTCAGTCCTGCTGATGTAGATGCCAGATGTTCGGACATGACCTGATGATCGTTCTTCTGAGTTAGTAATGCCGAGTAGATCATTCTATCTTCTTCCGAGGTCGAGGTCCTAAACTTCGCAATGAGGGTTTCTCTTCACCTGGCTAGGCCAAAGAACGTACGTCTGGTAGTTGTGTCTAGTTGTGCCAACTTCTTATCTTCCACTTTGTAAGTCCTGGCTCGGGGGAGTCGTTGATGATCTTGTAATTCCCATCTATCTCTGGGGCCTTCGTGAAGGGTTCCATTTGGTGAAGAGAGAACTTCTTAGCGTTGAATGGTGGGACGCTCTGACTCTGAAACTTCGTTGCTATCCTGAAGGCTGTGCTGAGGTTTCCTGGTACATCTGCGACAGGATCGATGGGTGGAAGAGTAAGTGTATCGAAGTCCTCGTTAGACATCCTGTACGTAAACGCTTCATTATCCTCTTTAGAAGGTGATGTGAGTTCTAGTCCATTTGCCATCCAAGATTTAATTTCTGGATCGGAAAATACGATTCCCCCATCATCTTTGGATTTAGAGGCTTCTAGTTCTGGAGATGGTTGCCATTCTGTCTCTTTCCTGCATGGAGATCTGGCGTGGAGACCTTCGTGGAGACCTGTGTAGAGACCTGCATGGAGACCTTCGTGGAGACCTGCGCGAAGGCGACGAATTCGGAAAAGGATCCTCCTTGGAGTCTTGAGATGTATCTCTGTGCCTTCGCGAAGGTGTAGATTCTCTTCTATGGTGCCTTCGCGAAGGCTCCTGATGGCTGTCCATATCAGAGAAGGATGATCTGCGATACTCCGGTGAACGTCTGGTTCTGTTCCTTATTTTTGTTTTTTTTGTTTTAAACATATTTCATTCATTCAAGAAAAGGATTGGGCACAAGTTATCCAACTTAGAAAAGCCCTCTCCAGATAATTACACAATTCATCTTACAACAAAGTACACAAGTGACAGACATAGGCTAGGATATGTACAACAGATGTTAACTGAGAAAGCGTTTTGTTTGAGAGATATAGATATGTACATATTTGAAAACATTCCTCGAAAACATTCGCGAAGGCTCCTTCGGTGAAGGTGTCCTAGTACGTCGTAGAGTGTGCGATCATTCGCGCAGGCTTCCTTCTTTGCGCAGGCTTCCTCCTTCGCGCAGGCTGCTGTCATCGGTGGGATGTGATCTGCAGGCTGCTTGACCTTCGCGCAGGCTCGATGTAAATGGGGCCTCTGTCGCTGCTTTCTCCTGTGCGAACCTCCGTTCCATCTGGTCCAACATCTGCTGTGTAAACTGCTGGGGTTGAAGGTCTGCAAAGACTACTGCTGCTGCTGCTGCACTGCGGACGACGCATCTGAGAGTACCGAGGCTTCTCCCAAGGACTGCTTCACATGTGACGAACTGCCATCTCTATCTGATGTCTGCGTTGATAAAACGTCTGACTGCGTTGAGATGACTGCTGCTGTTACTGTAGATGAAGACCTCGTCTTCTTCCTCACTGGCACTTCAGGGATGAGGGTGGGTGGCTCGTCATAACTTCTACTCCATCTGCTGGGATGATCTCTGTAGTAAAAGACCTCGTCTTAAACGCTGCCCCATGTGAAGACTTCGCCGGAGTCTTGTTAGCAGATGACTTCTTCTTCTGAGAAGACGATGCCCTCGTCTTCTTCGACTGCGATGAGGTTATAGTTGATGTGGACGACCTCTTCTTGGAGCCGGAGCTGCCATCAGACACAGTGATCTGCTCCGTAGACGCAGCCGGTAAACCACTAGAATGGTGAATGTCAGTAGGCAACAACAAACGGTTATCAACGCAATCATTTGGTTTACACATGACTTGTGAAAGTCGTCTACTCCTGTCCTTGGCACGCCTAAACACGCCCTGGAAAATACATAGTTATTAAATTCAAATTCAGATAAATGCTGACAAAGTTGACAGCAAAAGCTGGAAGAACATGGAGAAGTACAATTAGGACTTATTGTTTTCATCAAATGTAATCACGATGAAAACACATGTCAACAACGTGAACAAATACAGATAATTTTGACAAAATTTCAAACCATATTGTCGGTATATCAATCCTAAAACCGCATACAGCTAATTTAGTAGCAAGGCCTAAAAATTAACAGTGTTCTCACAACCGTCCTCAAGGGCGAAGAAGGAGAGAGTGAGGGGCATGTCTGATCATGTCACGCATTTTCCTGCCAAATGTTTCACTATCATTCGCAAGAAGAAAGAGACAAGCAATTAAGCATGAGTCAGGATAAGGAAAAATATTAGTTTTCAAGTTGAGATAGTATAATTCACCATCATAGGACAAACAGCCAATTAAACAAACTCTAAAAACCTCAGTCAACAAAGCTATTGATGCTCAGGTAACTTGATAACAGTACATTACAATTCATATTGATCCTTCTGACACCATATCTCCTCAGACCGGGAACCAGGACTCTGGATAATGTTTGAACCATAAGCATTTAGTCCTATGTTATCCTCCATATATGAGCAGCTAATAAACTGATAGGTACTCAGTACACTTCCTAGATCCAGCACTAGTTCTATGTAAAATGGTGTTTCAAGTAATTTCTACTTTTCTTCTGTTGGTGTGCTGCCCCAGATGTGTCAGGTTGACTCACAACAAGCAACAAGACACATCACTCTTCACATTAGTCACTGCAGCAAGTCTACATACAGTGTTGTTATACTTACAGGCATCGGTAATGGTTCCAATCATCCTCGCGTGTCTTCATCCAATCCTGGAACCGTTCTTCATTCTCAAGAGTTTGTGTGTCAAGGTCAAGGCTCTCGAGCTCCTCCACGATCTACAAGGACAGAGTGAATTTGTCAAAAAGTAAAAAATCTTTGCATCAAATGAACAAAATTACAAATAGAATTTCTTATACATCTCGCCAATGTTTAACATATCAATACCTTCTGGTGTTTAAAAGAACCAAGTGAGGCTTAATATCAAGTTATAATACATGTCTAGAAATTAATACATAGAGAATCTCACCCGAGTGTCATTTGATATAAAATATATCACCACGAGTTGATAAAGTTACAAATATCCGAGACTTGCCGAGGATATTTTTACTTTTATTAACGAGTGTTGATATATTTGATATCAGAAGACATGGGGGTGAGATTCTATTTATAATCAAAAATCATTCTTCATTAGTTTTAAATGAAAAATGTACATCTCTGAACACAGTACTTCCATTAGACTTACAGTGCAGTGATGTCATAGCATTTGATGTCATCAAGTTCATGATGTCATAGCATTGTCAGGGCATTGTACAAAATCTACTGTTAAAATGATATCTCCAGGGAAATATCGTTTGATCTCACACAAGCAATATCTCCTGTGGAACACACTATTTCCTAGTCTATTTCCTATTTCCAAGATTCTAACTAAGTCAGGCCTTATATTCCATGTCTAGTACTGCCTACTTACTATCTCCCAGTCCGGCAGGTCTGTGACATCATAGTTCAGAACCATGGAGTACTTGCTGCAAAGGAGAAGCAGACAACATCTTTAGTTAATCAGAACATTTCAAGCTGTAAAATGATAGATTATCTCCCACAATGCGTCAGTTCCTGGATGTCTGGAGCATGTAACGCTGGAGGCTATAAATAGCTTGACAGACACACAGATGCCAAACCAAGAGTTTCATGAATCTTCTGCATCACATTCTGTTACCATGGTTACCCTAACCCTGAGAGAGTATGTGGGTGAGTGAGTGAGTGTGCATGTGTGATTGTGAGCGAGTGAATGAGTGAGTGTGTGAGTGAGTGTGTGAGAGAGTGAGTATGTGGGTGAGTGAGTGAGTGTCCATGTGTGATTGTGAGTGAGTGAGTGAGAGAGAAGAGTGTGAGTATGTTTCTATGTGGAGGAAGACTTACTTGTAATATGGGAGGACAATCTTCTTGTAAGTATGTTTCTATGTGGAGGACCTGTAATATGGGAGGACAATCTTCTTGTACTTACCTGTAATGTGGGAGGACAATCTTCTTGTAAGCATGTTTCTATGTGGAGGAAGACTTACCTGTAATGTGGGGGACAATCGTCTTGTAAGCATGTTTCTATGTGGAGGAAGACTTACCTGTAATATGGGAGGACAATCTTCTTGTAAGCATGTTTCTATGTAGAGGAAGACTTACCTGTAATATGGGAGGACAATCTTCTTGTAAGTATGTTTCTATGTAGGAGGAAGACTTACCTGTAATGTGGGGACAATCTTCTTGTAAGCATGTTTCTATGTGGAGGAAGACTTACCTGTAATGTGGGAGGACAATCGTCTTGTAAGCATGTTTCTATGTGTGGAGGAAGACTTACCTGTAATATGGGAGGACAATCTTCTTGTAAGCATGTTTCTATGTGGAGGAAGACTTACCTGTAATATGGGAGGACAATCTTCTTGTAAGTATGTTTCTATGTGGAGGAAGACTTACCTGTAATATGGGAGGACAATCTTCTTGTAAGTATGTTTCTATGTTTCAATATGTTTCTAGTGGAGGAAGAGGACAATCTACCTGTAATATGGGAGGACAATCTTCTTGTAAGTATGTTTCTATGTGGAGGAAGACTTACCTGTAATGTGGGAGGACAATCTTCTTGTAAGCATGTTTCTATGTGGAGGAAGACTTACCTGTAATGTGGGAGGACAATCTTCTTGTAAGTATGTTTCTATGTGGAGGAAGACTTACCTGTAATGTGGGAGGTAAGTATGTTTCTGTATGTGGAGGAAGACTTACAATCTTCTTGTAAGCATGTTTCTATGTGGAGGAAGACTTACCTGTAATATGGGAGGACAATCTTCTTGTAAGCTGCTCTGAACAGTCTGCAGGTACTTTTTCTGTCACAACTTTCCCTTCACCGGACGGCTGCAAAGACAAGGTGACCAACATGTGACCAACATGTGACTACCATTACTACTAATCATACATAACAGATGATTTAAAATCTTGTATCTCCAAGAGTTGATGTAAGTATATAAGTTTTGTGTTTATCATGTTTATGGATTTACATGTATAACTGAGTTTTCACACTGGGTGAAGATGGACAAGAAAATGGGCATTGAATAAATGCTACCCATAGTGGGGAGATGTGTGGCTTTTAAAAGGCATAATATGAAGTTAGGGGATTGGTGTAGAAAGTAAAACTGAATTTGGGCTCAATGGCTTTCTGAAAATGTTTTGTTATATTGAATTCCCAAATTTAAGTTAACAAGTCTCTGCTTAACACAGAGCATACTGGTTTACAGATGTTTACATGGTGCTGAAGATACAAAACCAGCCCAAGTTCAGATTTGTAGTCATCACACAAGCATGTTGGACAAAGGGACATAACTCAACATTACTGTCCCCGTTAACTGTGTCAACTGTGTCGTGTACATACCTGCCCACGTTTGTTGATGCGTTGTTGGACCTCACTGACCGGAGCGTCCAGGTACAGCACTAGATGTGGTTTCCATAGTTCACATATCGTGTTGTCTCGCCACTGCTGATAGTATCTGTAGCCTGGACACACATGCATAAAACCTGGCTGACAATGGGTGAGTGAAGACATCCCTCGTCTTGTCAACATACAACTGTATGACACATTATATACACAATGCTATTTAGAAAGTGGTCACACATGTTATGTTTGTGATTATACTTTCTCAGTAAAGTACAGATTCCAGTACATTTGACCACTTTCGAAATGTCATTGTGTACTCACAGCTTTCAACCGTGGGAACCACACAGATTTCACTTGTTAGAGAAGTACATAAAGTCTGTTATTTAGACTACCAGTCGTCCAACTTCCACTTCTGTTGAAACCACTGTGGCAGAGTGGGTTAGATGGCTAACTTTGTGTGCTGGCGCACACCCCGCGCGCAGGGATGACTTAGCATAACATCACTGCCACAGGCTAATTTGCATATTACGTGACTGGACTTTTCTCTTGTTTGTAAACAAACACGCATATTCATAATAAGTAGAGACTGGCCTTCCGTAAGCTTTTCGGCGCGCTCTTCACAATGTATTACATTGTTACATGTATATTCTTCCACAACTGCGACAGTAAGATTTATGACAGTACATATTTAGATATCAAACTGGCTGCATCGTTTGCTCTCTGTTGGCTTCAAGGACAGCACGGGGAGCCGTACAACCTATGTAAACAAAGGATCGCTACGCAAATCGATATAGTGTTACATGTTTTAGGATATTTTCTCAGTGAAAGTAAACTATTCTATCAAAGATGTTTAATTAGATGTGTAGACTCGTCAAAAATAAAAGAGTTAATAAATATGTAGATTATATTGAATGGACGGTGCAAGATGTGACGAATCGTCACATCTTTCTGGCATGTGGCGGAGGTACTATGCTGGCTTGCCGCAAGGGTAGGAGAGTGGTGCTGGCGATTAGGTGCCTGACTCTGAGAGTGTGGGTTCAAATCCTGGATGGGACTCAACCTAAAATAAGTACTAGAATCTGTACTTCTCTGAGAAAGTGTAATCCCAAATATAACATGTTGCATTACATATTGTTTAATTCCAAATGCATGCTTGTTTACTGATGGAACTATTTTCCATGGTAAATTCTGAAAACTCTCAACATCACTGGGACTATTCAGTAACACTGCATGGAATGATGCTGGATCGTGGAGAGGGAATCTATGCACACTTGATGACCAAGCCGCAAATGTCAGAGAGAAGTGCTTTCACATGTGTATTTTGCAACAAAGGTTTGCAAATTACATTATAACATTTTGTGGGTGTCTCTGTAAGCTATTTGGTGTTGATATCCAGAGGTGGATTGTTGCATGTCAAAACATTACATTAATATAAAGAGAACGGCTAGTCGATTTCTGTGATTTAAGACTTTGTATAAGTAATCATTTTAATTCTATTTCAGCTTTTAGTGTTCTGAAGGATGATGACTTGTTCTGTTTTATAGAAAGTGCAAGAAGTTTTCAGTCTGGCTGTATCTAGAGTTGTGTTTACTGCATAAATCTGAGTCACAGGGCTGGTCTATTTTAGATTTAAGGGTATCAAGTTTAGATAAGTTGGTCTACTTTTTATGTCAATTGTCTTCAGTATCGTGAACAATAGACTTAGTCAAGCTTCTCATTTGATCGGCCCTATTTCAAACCTACATGTCATCCGCCATGATTCCAGTTAGTTGAACCACCATACCATATGAGTACATGTTTCAGATGCTCAATAAATACAACATGGCATTGTCAGCCGTGGTCTCGCTTCACCATTTGCTGTCATGTAGCCAAGTTTCCTCAATGTGTTCTCAAACACAAGGTCACTCCATGGTCCCTCTCAATAACCACGCTTTGACCTGGAACAATAGAACTACTTCTTGAAGCTTTCATTGTTGGACATGTTCCTGCACAGCAACACCACCATATCACCCTAAATTTTAACGATGAGGAAACTTTTCTTTGAATGGCATTTTTAGAAGAAGGATATGTCTTACAGTATGTTCAGATACAATTAATTAAAGTAACATTTTAAAACTCATCCCCCAAGGGGAGGGTGGGACGGGAGAGAGAGAGAGGATTACGGGCGAAAGTCTTTCCCCTCGTACACCCCCAGTTCTACTCCTCTGTCAAACATCCAGCATCAACTGCAGCCATTCCCAACAGCAGGAGTCTCCTTATTCTAATCATGATAAAAAGGCGGCACAAGAACATTGGGGACCACCCGATCCTATTCGTAGCCTCTTATGCCAAACAAGGGTTTCTGAAGGCCATTTGTGACCCAGATTCAAAAGTGAGACTGATTTTGGTGAGACTTGCACCCGCAAGAACATACAAATAATATGACACAATCCCCGAAGAAGTCCAAGATAGGAGATGTGAATTGTAAGATGCTTGTCAAACAAAACACCATGAACTAGCAATCATGAAGGGTTTGATCCCTGAGAGAATGATAACTTGTCCAAGTGTATGTGTGATATGCACTAATCTACTGAAAATATTTACCTTCCTCTAATGTTTGCCATATATTTGGACGACCCTTCCCATGACCTGTTCCAAATTTGTGTATTATTTATTATAACCCTCCTCAAGCTTGACTAGTGACTGGTATTTCATCTAGTGACCTTTATTTGATTCCCTCCTGTAATAAATAACCAGTCCCTAAAGGGACTGCTTGTGACAAGCAAATGGATCTTGGGACCAATTCAAGCATCAAATCGCCATGACTATTGTGTACGTAACTCTCATCATCACAGAGGATGCTTGACTGGAATCCATGGTCTACACAGTGTTGGGGGTTCTGCTATAGCACATATAGTGATGCATGAGATCCTACTGATAAACTGCAGTTTTGCCACAGTGAGAAACAGCATCCTTAACAACTACTTTGAAATTTATAGAATCATGACTAGTGTGTCTTGTACATAAGTTGACATGGGCCATGGCCCGTATTTACCAGTGTTGAGCAAGTGCTCTAGAGCATTGACATAGTTGAGAAATCGATGTCTGTAGATCGCCAGCTGGGTTCTGCCAATAGTTTTCAGTGTAGTTGGGTGTACGTTCTGCATGTGGAACGTTGCTATATCCAGACTCCGGGCTCCGGTGGCAGGCGCTCGTTCAGGGTCTCGGTAATCCACCCTGAATCGGACAAATATATCCTGCTGTCGAGGGGATCTGGGGAAATATTTCATGTCGAATTCGGTTGCAAGTTTTTTCTGCAAACTCCGACTTTCCAGTCGCTACATTTCCATCAACAACGATCACCTTCGAATTGTCATTAAATCGCTTCCTGGTGTGATCAATAAACTGCCAGTACTGATTATATCGCCTGGTTTCATATGGCCAAGGCTTCGCCCGCTGAATTTCGTTTCCATGACTTTGAGAAGACGTCAAGTTTGCAACTTGCACTGCACCAGCGCCGACTGCGGATTGAGCTTTACTGGGGTCTAACAGCCTCGCTCCATTATAACCTGGTCGAAAATTTAAAATTAATTTCTGGAAACGAAATGCCATGCTGGGTGATCTCTAAATGAATCTTCTCCACGATAAATTACTGTGGTATCATTTGGCCCTTCTTGTTTCGGTGAGGTAAAGTCACCTCGGCGAAAGGAAGGAAGTTGGTAGTGCGCAGGTGCGGATACAAATTCCTCACCGCGATAGTTCATTAAATGAAGAACTCACCATGCAATGCGTGGGTAACGAAGGTGTCCCGCGCTGCAATGGAGCTTGATGCAGCGATACTCGCAAGGGGCGCAATTCTATTACACTACCAGTAAACCGAACATTGCATATTTTACGTGCGCTTTGATCTGTAGATACAAGCTAATCGTTATGAACACACAATGCCATTTAGAATGTGGTAAAATGTAACACATATTATATTTTGGGGTTACACTTTCTCAGTTAAGTACAGATTCTAGACTTTGTTGGGTTGTTGAGTCCATCCGGGATTCGAACCCACTACCTCGAGTCAGGCACAAATCGCCAGCACACAAAGTAAGCGTTACTCTGTGTACAGCGGCGATTTTATTCTGACTGTTTACTGAGAAAAGTGTAATCAGATATAACATGTGTTCAAGATATGCGTTGGCAACATCGAATGGGGAGCCCATTCTTCGAAACAAATAAAGCATAATTGAAACACCTATCAAGGCCTTCGTAATTCCCCCGTCCATCTGCTTACTTACCTACCTACAGAACCACCCACCCACTTACTGTAGTTCTAATACGTTGTCAAAAAATAATTAATATGACGTTATTTCATGTAAGCACATAAAAAAGCTATTTGTGCTTTTCATACGTTTTATTTCTTCGAATTGCCCATTTGACCTTGGACTTTGCCCTTTTGACGAGACAGCCTGTGGACCAATTATGGTGTCCTATAATTGACATCGCGTGGCGCGTAAAAAAAGAACTACGTCGTGGGCGACGTCGCCCACGACGTCGCATAAAAAAGACGACGTCGCGCTTTGTAAAATATATTTTGGCTACAAAAATAACGGGCGACGTCGTTGGCGACGTCGTGAACGACGTCGTGGGCGACATCATGGGCGACACGTCGTGAGCGACGTCGTGGTCGACGTCGCAGCGACGTCGGACTATATCGAGTAGTTATCGGCCTCTGAACGTGGCTGACCAAGGTTACGTCTAAAGAACCACGAATCGTTAAACGAAACAGGTTTAAAAACGCAAAAATGCTTCAGTCACTCCCGATAAACATTTCTGTCGACCCGAAAATGTTTTACACCTATATCCAATCAAATACCACCCTAGAAGGCCACTGTTCATTGTATGTAAGGCATACCCATCTGCAAATGAAACGATCTCTTCCCACACTCTAAACATAATCACCGCCACTATTGTTCGGTCCGGCATACCTCGGGCCGTCAAAAGCAACTTTAAACCTCACATGTATCTTGGTGCGTTTAATTCACAGATTAGTATTACATCTACCTATATATCACTTTTCAGCCCTTTCTCTCTCCATTTTCACCGTAAAGGTCCGGATTAGAAAGTGCCTTCAGTAACCCATGCTTGTCGTAACAGGAGCAGGTGGTCAGACTCGCTGACTTGGTTGACATATGCCATCGGTTCCGAAATGCGCAGATCGATGTTCATGCTGTTGATCACTGGATTGTCTGGTTCATACTCGATTATTTACAGACAGCCGCCATATAGCTGGAATATTGCTGAGTGCGGCGTAAAACTAAACTCACTCACTCACTCACTCTCTATTTTTCATAGCCTCAATCAAAGTAAAGAAGTTTCTGTTGGTTACACTTTGCCGGAGCTGTCAAAAGCAACTTAAACCCTCGCACATGTATCTTGAAGTCTCACAGATGAATCTCTAGATTCTGTTTACATCCACGAATATAGTTATATCTATCTAAATACCACTTTATAGACCCAGTTTTCTTTGTAACATCACAATGTGGCATTTAGGTAGAATATAATACTGATCTATGGATTTAAACACATTTCAAGATACATGTGTGAGGTTTGCTATGCTTTTGGACAGCCTGCCAAGTCGGGCCGAACAGACTGAAACACTTTTGATTGAGGCTATTTTGAGGTTGGCAGAACAAGGGCTTCACTTTAACGGAGCAGTTACCTTTACATGTGGCATTTTGTAACATTTCAATGTGATATGTAGGTAGATATAATACTAATCTATGGATTTAATAAATTAAAAGATACACCTTTTGAGGTGTTAGGATGCTTTAGACGACTCCGAGCCAAGCCGGACCGAACGCTTCAGACACAGTGTGTTTGTTCAGAATATATAGAAATGAAGGCTGCACTTCGAGCAACGTGTTTGCTTAAAAAAAAATACTACGCTTTGAGACTCTATAAAAGAAGTATTTAGGTACTAGTAGATATAATTGTACCATTTTGCCTCGTCTGCTATGTACTAGCAAATTTAAGCATATGCATACGCTTTAGCTATGGATTTTGGGCTGGTGTTGTTTTACGGTTTAGAATACAATGAAAACACATAAGAATGTGTGTTTTGTGTAAATGTATACTTTCTTTGATCCTTTATATAACATATTACAAAAGGTTGTCATTTAGTATATTTCTTTTAACATATATAATCACAATCATAATTTCCCATATAACATGGGGAGCAATTATTTCAAGCCATTGAAAATGTCCATGCATCTTATTTTAAAATATTTCTTACAGAAGGTATATTTGCTTCCCAATAAAGCTATACTTGGCGAAACAGGATGCTATAACATGCATATTGAGAGTCAAATGAGAGTTATTAGATACTGGATTAAACTTATAAGAATGCCTGATTATCGCTACCCCTATCAAAGCTGTCAAATATTATTATCACTGGATAAATGTGGAAAGTATTCATGGGCTTCAGATGTGAGAAATATGTTATTTTCAAGCGAGTTTTCTTCATGTTTGATTTAAGCAAAATGGGTGATATAAAAATGTTTTGTCAACATTTAAACAACGAATAAAAGATATATATTCACAGTTGGTACGCATCAGTCAATTCATCGAGTTTTCTTAGTCATTATTCGCACAATGTAAATCGATGTTCGACCTGCAAAATATGTCAGTCAGTTCTTAATGATAAGTCCCTTTTTAAGAATTTTTGTAAATTTAAAAATCTCTTCATGCCTTAAAAATACAACGTTTTTAGAAAAGATAATAATATATTGGAAGATTTCTATCATGTTCTTATTGTTCTTCTGGTAAAACTGAAGACGAACGACACTTATTATTAGTCTGTAAGACTTTCTCTGCCCGCCGAAAGAAGTACTTAGTAATGCACTAATGATGCCCCCACAAACGATATTCAATGCACTTAATTCTAATAATGCTGATATTATTAAATCTGTTGCCATTTTCTATGAAACATTTGATGTCCATCCGTAAATCACATGTGTAAAATCATCATAATTTAATGTCAATGCGACCAATAGTTGTAATTCTTGAGTAACTTCACTGTGTACTCTGGGCCACTGGGCCTTAACTACTGAATAAAGCTTTTCCGTGACTGTCTCGTCTGTCATTGTCCAGGTACTCCATCAATGTCGGGTGGTTATTTTGCAAGCCTGAACTTCAAGGTATCTAGTCGTTCCTCCAAATCTCTTGCACTTTCTATCAGGGGTCAGTCTTTGGCCGGTATTGTACTGAAGCTATCTTTGCCCCTCGTTCAGTCCTTTGTTCATCTCTCCAGGAACTCTGGGCCATCTCGAATAGGGTGGGATGCTGTTTTACCACAACTCTTCATGGAGATCTTAAGCTATGCCACCTCGCAACCCCGGAGGTTGCTTGTTTCAGTGCGGGGCCGTCAGTATTTCTTTTGGCACAGTCGAAAAGATTCACTTTGACTTCGCTGGTGTACAGGGGTCCGGTGGTTGTGGTCCTTTGCGGGTACTTCTGGGAAAATTATGCTGTTCACTGTTAAGACTTGGATATGCAAGCCGTTCTTAGTGCATCTCCACGAGATCCATTTTCCCATTTTCTTCTTTGTTCACAATAAAACATATAACCATTTACATATATGTATGTTCCACCACGAGAAGTATATAAAAGAAATCTATTGTGCATTTTCCATAACTGAATTTTGGTGGAAATGATGATGAAAAACTCGGTCAATTCCAACATTCTTACAGCTTCTTGCACGTTTCTATGTAAGAAATTGAATAACCTACCAATAATGAACTCGAGTGAACTAAACTCAATCCACTCAAACCCGCTGGTTCATTACGTCAACCCGCTGGGTACAAAAAGTCATATTTCGCTTCCCGGAGCGGGAGACATTTTGCCATTTTGTAGGAAACCAGTGTTTTGATCCCTTTAAAACAACACCGTTTTCTACAACATCAAGCATCAACTAAATTTGACATAATTTTTACTTAAGGTGTTCCCATAAAGCAATTTCTTGAATGGTTTACTTAAATAAGCAGGTACTGCTGAACATGAAATCAGTGATTAGAGATCACCAGCAGTATAACCGCACCCACAAAAAGGTTATTCCCCGGATTTTCCAATATAACAATTTCTAAACATCAGACGTCGCCTGCAAGTCGTCGGCGATTTACCGACCTTTGGACAAGTCGTCGGGCGACGTCGCCTTTCGACCGCATCGTGGACGACGTCGATTTTGTATTTTTGTCGCAGATCTCTTGTTGTGGTTTCTGCGCGACGTCGTGACGACGTCTTTACACGACGTCGTATGCGACGTCGTTCTTTATATGACGTCAGGGCGACGTCGCCCACGACGTAGTTCTTTACGCGCCACGCGATGGCAATTATAGGACACCATACCCAATTGACCCGTCATCTTTCGAATCGTTCCTTATTTGCCCTCGGCAAGCATGGATGTTGAGAGTCAACAGATCGCCTTTGTTACTGAGAGTTTGATGAGGCAAACATTCTCACCAATAGGTTAGTCATTGTTGAATGTTTCTATCCGACCTACTTGACTTTCTTGTAATGAAATCACAATGACAAACAACATCTACTGCATGTCTATATCGGTTTATAAGAGAAATATATGTGTTGTGTGAACAACAGCGCGTGATGGGCAGTCTGGCACTGGCGACATCCCAGACATTTAAGATGGTCGGAAATGGTTCACGGCGAAATACCTGTGACGTGCGGCTAATCCTTGCGACT